GCCAGTGTGATGACGAAGAGATGAATCAGTATCATTATCACATGGCACTTAAACTAAAAAGGAGAGGCAGATGGGTTCAGGTCCGCGACTACCTCGATGAGAAGTTCGGAATTAAAGTGAACTTTAGTGATCACCACAATACCTACTACAGTAGTTATAAGTATGTCACAAAAGAAGATAGCAATCCTGAACATTCTGATTCGCATCCTGATTTACAAAATGCACCAAGAACCGAACAAGCAATCGCTGGCAAAAAGCGTAAAGGCAGGAAAAGTTCAGGATCTGCGTCAAGTCAAAAGCAAAGGAAAAGACGTAGAGACAGGGCATTGACTGTATATGATGTATCTCAGATTATACAGCAACGTAAAATAAGCAAGAGAATAGAGCTTGTGTGCCTTGCTGTGCAACAAAAGCGAGAAGGAAATACTGCTTTAGCAGAGTTCATTGCGAATAAGGGGGAAAACGCTGTGGATGATGCATTGGCAGTTGCTAAAGAATTTGAGGAAGCAGAGAAAAAGCTTGCAAGAATGCAAAAATCGCGGGTTCACCTACTGACTGAGGCAAAGGAAGAAGGAAAATGCGTGGCAGGTTGTGAGGGAAAATGGTTACTGGCTGCAGAACAGTTGTTAGAGAGTAATTCAATTACACGTCAATCGTTCTGTGATGCCATCTATATTGCGCTTGAAAAAGGCAGGGGGAAATATCAGAACATATATATCCATGGTCCTGCCAACTGCGGAAAAACATTTATATTCTCACCTTTGAAAATCATTTACAAGGCATTTTGTAACCCAGCTACGGGCACGTTCGCATGGATGGGGGCTGATGAAGCAGAAATCATTTATCTAAATGATTTCAGATGGAGCCCAACCGTGATTGCATGGGCTGATTTATTACAAGCCCTGGAAGGCGACGTTGTTCATCTACCCGCGCCTAAGAATTTTTGTCGAAGGGATTTGGAGTTATCAGCTGATACGCCCTTCTTTGCTACGTCAGACGCGCCACTGGTGCTAATTAAAGGCGGAAGTATTGATCGTACAAACACTGAAATGATGAATGTGCGCTGGAAGTTCTTCCACTTCTCTAGAGCAATTCCACAGGCTTCACAAATAAAAATTGAACCGTGCGGACACTGCTTTGCAAACTTTATTTTATACAACAAAGACTAATTGCAAGAGCTTATTGCGATATAGTAATACGCTGCCAATCAATATGTAATTGTTAGACGTGCGGGCCGGCGGGCTTTCTTTATTGTGACACTCAGTACTCAGTGACAGTACTCAGTGAAACAAGAGCTAAGCGAACATATATGACTTCACTGTCTTCAATAAAATGTTTTTACATGTTGGCATAAGTGTCGCAATTCTGTTTGTTGTTATTTGGTAGGAAAATTCGGCCTTTGGAAAGGACAATCACAGTACTCGCCATAATATGAGTTAAGACAATGTCTATCTCATATTAAGTTTGGAGGTTTTAATGAGTACTGTCAATTATTGTTTCAAATTTACGATTTTTTTTTACCCATTTCCCATGAGATTGTAAGAACAGTAACAATGAACAAAATGTTGTGTGTATTTTATTGATTTATTTGCAACAAGAGGAAAAATTAAGCAATTACTGTGAGTACTGTTGACGAGTACTGTCAGTTAGTTATTAAGTTACTAGAGTTCAATTATATAAATAGACTAATATTTTGTCCGATAGCCACCAGACTTAATTATTAGGTCAACGCGTTTTGGCAAACTTTCGATTGTTTTATCAATGACATCATAAGGAATACTATTTAGGGCACATACAACTCTTTCCTGAAATTGTGAAAAATTTTCAGCTTCTATACGCTTGTTGATAGCCTCTTCACGCAAAGTAGACTTTACTAAATGAAATATATTTTCAATTGGATTTAAATCCGGTGACCGAGCAGGAATTTTTAGCAACTCGCTTTCAACACTACGCAGTGCATTCATTGCGACTTTACTGCTTTGCGAAGGATCGTTGTCCATGACAAATAGACGTTTCCCGCCATGCTTAGGGCCGGCCTTAGCATAGCAAATGTTGAAATTGTTTTTGATAAAGTTTGCAAAGAATTTCCCGTTCATTTTCTCGTATGGTTTTGCAAGAATAACACCTTTTCCGTGAGCAATAGCAACCATGACATGGACTCTACGACCACCTGGCAAGTCTTTGCTTCCTTTGCCGGTTAAAATTAGCCCTTCTCCTTTTTTCCGTCAAACTCTAGCCATCCCAGTGGTTGTCGCGGTCCTCATTGGATTGAACTTGTGTATAAACGATACACCATCCATATAGAACGACACTTCATTCGTCCAAAAGCTTGCATTTCGTTTCATGAACTTCTTCACTTTTCTACAAAATCGTCGCCTCAGCACCCCTATCTCTGTCTGACAGAATACCTTTCTTCCGTCTTTGAAGGAAACCATAGCCATTCTCATTTAGAATACGTGAAACTGTGCGTCGACTAACAGCGTCTAAACTGAGACCAGTTTCCATTACTAGGGACTTAACAGAAACATTCGGTTCACGCAATCGCAGGACTTTTAGCGTTCTTATCAAAGATCGTACATTTCTTGAGTTGAGCTTTCGTGGCCTTCCCTTTTTCTTGCATACTTTTGTACTTTGGTCATTTATAGGCATACTATATATAGACATATTCTGTGACTTGATGATTTTGAAATTTTACACTCTTTTGCAATATCGCTGTATGAAGCATTGTGTTTTACCCTTAATAAGTGGGCATAAGCTTTTTGAACTGGTGTGATTTTTTTTCCTGGCATCCTTGTGTAGGCAACTGTGTTCTCAATCACTTACGTCATGAATCATTTTTTAATGTGGTTGTCGAGTACGTGTTAATTAGATGACATCAATGCACGATTTGATAAATGATCTCACTTAGACTAAATGCAGACGAAATAGAAAATGTCTCTTTTTTCCATTACTTGCGCAAATAATTCTCAATTATCTAAACACATTGGCTTAATTTCAATCTAAAATCGTATAAATTACCATTAATTTAAGAATAACTGGAATATAGATTTAAAAACAGATATTTCAGAGGAGTATGGACGTATTTATACAAAAGCGATTGAACTTTGATTGTACAACTCCTACCAGAGTAAGAGCATGATTGTCTTCTATATAACAAAGCAAATATAGCTTGAGCAGCTTAGCGGAACCACCTTAACTAAAGACGTAAATAATATGCAACAACACATATGCCAATCATATTTGTTTTTTTATGCACTAGAATACATTAGTGCAAGTATCTTGTACAAGGCTAAATGCATTTTTCGTGGAAAATAATATATAGCAATTTTCAGACAATCTTGGCCAAAAGTTCGTAGAACGACCAAACAAATTCGCAACTTTTTAATATACTTGGGTTTTAAAATCATATTGCACCTCCCCCCGCTCCCCCCATTCAATGTTGGTTTCCTGCAATTCAAGTACATGTAGAATTTTATCTGTACAATATGTCCGACCATAAAAGTAGACGAAACGGCAACATTGAATGGGGGGGAGGCTTGAAAAATGCACAAAAATGCATCATCGTCCTACGCTTTATGGCCAAGATTGTAGTACAAATGTTATTCATCCAGTGGTTATTGTACAAGTAGGGTGGGTTCATGTGTCGGGCTCTATTAGACACTGGTGCAGGGAGCTCCTATGTGTCGGCTGCATTATTAGATCAGATTCCCAAAAGATGCTCCAAGAAAGAGAAGTAAGGAAGATTGACATGATGCTTGGAACAACAACAAGAGAGGTTGAACTATCAACTATTCGAATTGTGGGGGGCTCACTGGTGATTTTTCCAGTAACTAAAGTTAACAAGAACGAACTGTTACTTTTGGATAACCCAAAGTATGAAGAGATCATTAAGAAACACACACATATGAAAGGAGTTGCTATGGAAGATCATGACATAAAAGATAAACTTCCAGTTCATATTATTCTCGGGGCAAAGTGAGTTTGCGAAGCTGAAGACAGAGAAACCTCCTAGAGTTGGTCTTCCAGGTCAACCTGTAGCCGAGTTGACTCAGTTCGGTTGGACTATTATGTCCCCAGGCAAGAAATCTGTGGATGTGTCAAGTATGCTTCTAGCTCAGACATCTCAAGCTGACTATGAAGAACTATGTCGGCTTGACGTTTTGGGCTTAGAAGATAGACCAACCAACAGACAGAGTGTTGTCTACGATGAGTTCAAGGAGCAACTTACTCGGGATGAAACTGGACAATATGAGACGGGGTTACCATGGCATGGAAACCATCTCCCATTACCAAACAATCGAGCTAGCAGCTTACGCCGCCTGGCAGGTTTGACAAGTAGATTTGATCGTGTGGGACTGAGATCTAAGTATAACCAAATTCTGGAGGAGCAAAAGACAGAAGGGATTATTGAAAGTGTGAGCAATCCCAGCGAAGGTAGAGAGTATTATATCCCCCACAGACCAGTGCTGCGAACTTCTGCGGAATCAACGAAGCTCAGGATTGTCTACGATACATACTTCTTTTTCAAAATCGTCTCTTTGCATGCATCACATCTTAGCCCTCCCGACAGCACAGTGAGATATTCGTCTTTGAATTCGTTCAGTCTGTCACAAGCAGACACATTTGGACCGACAGTGCCACAGATATTCTTAGTTTTTCCAGCCGGATTGTACTTTTCTTTCACAGGAAATGTTAGCCTTATCTGCGGTACTCAATCTAGCTCCTGCTGTAGCTGCTATCTCCAAAGGATTTTCTTTGGATGACTGATTTTCAGAATTATTTGAGTTTAATGATGAAGTGCGGTTGTCTGCCATTGTATATTCTCGAAGTAAGTACTTCATCTTGTATACATATTTTGGACCTGCGTCCTATAAGTATGTATACCAGTGCGTGATATACTTCTAGTCTTCTAAAAAAAAGTTGCCAAGAATGAAAAAGGTTGTCTGAAATCAGAAAAGTTGCTCCAAAGTTGCCGAGCATCTTGTGGACAGCCTTATTCAATGGTGGATTTTGCATGCTCATTGAAAAAGGCTATTGATCATGGCAGTATTGATGTTGTCATGACAACAGATGCATCTTTACTGGGATGGGGTGCCAGCAAAGGGCAAACGTCTGTTGGTAGACAATGGTCTGAAGAAGACATCGTCTACTCGTGGCTGAGGAAAAGGGAAGAAGATTCCATCATCCTTATCCAAAACTGATGATCCACCTCTTCATATACCTGCAGATATACTCGAACCACCTGATGATGTACTTGATACACCTGCTGATAATGATAAACGACATTTTCCTGAGCACTCAAGGCCCCCCCAACTCTTCCTCGTGAAGGCTTCTGTGAATCATCGGTGTCATCTGTACTGATTGATGTCTCCATCTCCTCCCGCCTGGCAGATAACAAGGGGAAGAAGAAAAAGAAATGGGCCAAGAAAAACCCCTGCATCAAGAGGAGAAGCTGATGCTGGAGTTCATCATGGACAACCCTGTGCTGTGGAATGTCAAGATGACAGATTACAGGCAGAAGGACAAGATCTGGGAAGAACAAGCCGACAGCCTCAAGGGCTCATTATGTGACACCCACACTTGCCTTGACAAGAAAAAGAGGCTTGATAGTGCACCAAACATGACTGAGAGAGAGCAGTGGATCCTCTCAAAGTTTGCCTTTCTGAAGACGGTCAATCACCACCGACCAGAACCCATACAGAGTGTAAGTTGACAACTATTCTATCTTTTCTGCACGTTAGGTTATCTTTTTATAAATAATTTTCTTTTCAGTATACATAACATAATCCCATTCTCTCATTTTGAGTTTAACAGGTTAGATGTAACAATTCCGATCTGCCCTAAATCAAGCCTGCTAATATATTCATCCGAGACTGTTTTATTGCATGAACTGTTTGTGGTTGTTTCAGATTTGTTCATGGCGGTAGGCGGCTGATACACAAGGCATTTGGACAAAAATAAAATTGGTCTCCACCACAAAGTTCTGTTCATATGTTACATAAAGGCCAGTAACCGATAAAGAAAGCTCCCCATCTTTCTTTTCATCCTGGCATCCTCTGCACCTTGGAGTTTGTCCTCATTTCTTCTCCTTTCATTCAAGATACCAGATTTGCAGGCTGCACTTGCGAGAATCATTTGCTAAAAGGTGGGTTGTTATTACCTTTCTGCTTTGCCTCTGATGAATAGAATTTTTCGTTTCTTCCATAACTTTTAATGGTTCAGGAATGTTATTTGGGGTGTTGGCTGTAATCTGGCGAATATCCTCTATGGTCAAAGATACTTGTTGCAATATTTCACTATCTTCCTGGATACCACATACAAACAGCAATGTCCATATCATGTGTTTGCATGCTTGTTTCCCACAATATTTAACATAACCTTGGCAGTTGTATGAATGCTGACTACCAATATGAACATGGTAATCTGTGTACCTAGAAGTAGCCAAGGCACATGTTAAGTCTGGCCCGTCTCTTCTGTATTGAAATTCATAGACATCACTTTTATCAAATTTCCTTCTTTGTTCGCTTTTTCGGGGCGATCGAGAAATGCCTTACTTCTTGATGATCTGTAGCGGCCTGCCCTATTTGTCGTCATTCTTTCACATGAACTTTTCACATGAACTCCTGCCCAAGAACACAAGCCCGCCACAACTCATGTGAGCTTTTTTGAAGGGCTTTGTCTTGTAATAAAGAACCCATTCCACCTCGTGAATCTCTGGCTCGAAAAGCTTTGTACTCAAATTCTAACTGAACATTATCATGGGCATCAGCATACACCGCATTTAATAATGACGTGTTTCCTTTGTCTCGTTTAACCCAACTGGCATGAATAACTTCAGCTAAGTTCATTTTAGGGCCACCAGATACACCAAGGAAGGCGGGAGAAAACAAATGCCTTCCTCTTGTGCCACCATTCTAGCCAAGTGGAAAGACTTTGACGTTCAGGACTTTCGGCAATGAATGAATCTAAATAGTCTTTTGCTTTCTTATAGCTTATCGGAGTTTGGGGCTTGCAGGAGGCAGTTGCACAGATGTTTAAAATTGCTGCGGTCATCATCACCAAGCTTTTGTGCCTGATGATTATGGCACTCTTTGAAGTGAAATTTATCAAATATTAAAACATACAAAATATTATTTTATATCATAAAGAACTGGTGAAACAGATTTGAAAGTAGGTAGAAAGTAGTCCCAATGTTTAAAAAGCATATAGGTGTCTCTTTGGTCATTCTCTAAAGAAATATTACAACATATAAATAATTTTATTTCATTCTGTGCAGACAGATTTGAAAAAAAAATTGTGTTTCTATTTCCTCTGAAATTATAAAGCAAAAGGCACCCCCGGATATGATATTGTCCCTTTTGAGATTGTAAATGTTATGGTAAATATTTCCCCCCTCCATGAATCATTGTCGCTTCAGTGTTGTATCTAATAGAGAGTAGACTGGAGTGGCATTTGAAATGGGCTTATACACCTTTCTTTAAACCCATCCCTAATGTGGTTTATTTACATATTCATGTCTGAAAAACGAAATGTAATTGTCAAAGGAGATTGTTGCAAACGATATAGTTGAGATGCTTTGACCCTGCCAGTCAATAATATTAATCTCCAATCAAAACAAATGAGCTGAAGAGACAATTGTGGGGTTGGTAGCCATTTCACAGCGCAGAGCCGTAACAGCTTCCTGCCATGTGCCAGGTCTCGTGTTATTGTTTCTTGGATAGTCTTTGTTGGTTAAGTTGGTTAATAAGAGGTACATATCAGTTTGTACTAGAGCACCAGCCTAAATGAAAGATTATGTACTTTTTATACAATAGTAGAAAACTTGATAAATAGTAATAAACCATAATAGTGCAATGCTGTTTTTTCAAGACAGCATACATTGATGTCCGTCTTTTACATTCACCCTTTTTCAAACAAATGAAGTTGAAGTTGTATGAGGATGGAGGTAACAGGTACATAAAATATGCTGTCTATAGTATCCAGTAATGTTTGATGTTTGTTATGGTAACTTGTCTTTTATATACAAAGCCTCAATTTTTTTGTATATGAACAAAATGAATGGAAACCAGAATGTTACTGTCATTCCAATTGAAGTGTTCCTCAAATATTGATTCAATACATTACCTTGGGCTGACAAATGCATTTGATCAAGTTCCTCAAAATATTAAATATATATATACACTTCCTACAGTAGTATAATTGTAAACTTCCTGTTGAATAGTTTGAATGCACCAATCATTTTTGTTGTTTGTGCAACTAACCAATCATAAATAGAAAGGAAGTGACCAGAAATGATCAAATACTTGGAATTGGCTCTTTCACAGTAAGTGTACAAATATCTCGAGGAACTTGATGAAATTAATTGGTCAGCCTGAGGTAATGTATTGAATCAATATTTGAGGAACACTTCAATTGGAACGATAGTAATATAGTACTTACACTTTTGAAATGCTATAAGAAGATAATGTTTATAAAACATTGTTATCAACGCTTCCTTAGCTTGCTGGTAACATGTTCATTCTTCGAAAGAGAATCTTTTAAATTGGTAGTCTTTCTCTTTCTTCTAGCTTTATAACAAACGTACTTGCAGGGAGGTGAGTCCGGGATTCGACGCACCGAGGGTGCCTGGAAGTTTCCCGAACTTACCGAGCGAAGCGAGGTGAGTTCGGGAAACTTCCAGCCACCCGAGGTGCGTCCAATCCCGGACTCACCGAACCTGCAAGTACGTTTGGTTTTTATCCCATACACCTAGCCATACACACATTTGTAGCTCTTCGCGATATATTCGCCGATATTTTGTGAACATTTTCCCGGCCAAAAAATCACTGGGCAAGAAAATACTTCTTTATCTACGTCTACATTACCTTTACTGCATTTTTTCTTTGGTTTTTCTTCAGTCTCAGTATGTTAGTCACTGAAAAGTTCTTTAAAGTTTAGGTTTATCGGCTAAATCTTGTCCGCCATATTTGTTATTGTTATTGCAACGTAAGCAGTTTAGCGGGTGAGTTCGGGCGAAAAGCAGGTCAGTTCGAAAAAAGCAGGTGAGTTCGAAAAAAGCAGGTGAGCTCGACGACAAGCTCACCTGCTCTAAACCAATCAGAAAGCTGCTTTTAACACAGGTATGGGATAATATTGTCGGATGAGGGAGTATCTGTTGTTGGAGTATCTGTTGTTTGAGTATCTGTTGTTGGCTTGTATCCTTCAACAGGTGTGCTTGTTGTAATTGATGGTGGGATACATGTAGATGTTGGCTTGGCTACTTCAGTTGTATTTGTTACAAATGGTGCAGCTTCAGCAGGTGGGCTTGTTGCAATCATTGGCAAGATAGATGTTGGCTTTTCAAATTCAGCTGGTGGGCTTGTTGCAATCGTTGGCAGGATAGATCTTGGCTTTTGAAATTCAGCAGGTGGGCTTGTTGCAATCGTTGGCAGGATAGATGTTGGCTTTTCAAATTCAGCAGGTGGGCTTGTTGCAATCGTTGGCAGGATAGATGTTGGCTTTTCAAATTCAGCAGGTGGGCTTGTTGCAATCGTTGGCAGGATAGATCTTGGCTTTTGAAATTCAGCAGGTGGGCTTGTTGCAATCGTTGGCAAGATAGATGTTGGCTTTTCAAATTCAGCACGTGGGCTTCTTGCAATCGTTGGCAGGATAGATCTTGGCTTTTGAAATTCAGCAGGTGGGCTTGTTGCAATCGTTGGCAGGATAGATGTTGGCTTTTCAAATTCAGCAGGTGGGCTTGTTCCAATCGTTGGCAGGATAGATGTTGGCTTTTCAAATTCAGCAGGTGGGCTTGTTCCAATCGTTGGCAGGATAGATGTTGGCTTTTCAAATTCAGCTGGTGGGCTTGTTACGACTGGTGGAGGGACAGATGTTGGCTTATCTCCTCCAGTTGGTGGACTTGTTGCAACTGATGGTGTGGTAGACGTTGGCTTTGTCTCCTTCAGCATCAAGATTGCCTGTAAAAAGAATATATTATTAAAAGGTTGGTCACTATAATGTAATTGGCTAACACTGTGTTAATGTTTCTGAACCGTCTTCTTGTTTGTATTTTGTGTTGATGGCTTAAAATAATAAGCTGTAGAACTCTTCCTTTAATGACACATAACAGTAAAATTGTCTAGCATTAGAGGAAAATAATAGAGTATATGCATCAGGGCACATTGCTACTTAACCCATTGGACAAAAGCACTCTATCCCCTTTAGGAGTAAAATTATCTGGCATTAGGAAGAGTAAAAAAAGTTTCATTTTTTTAAAAACACTCACATTGAATGCCTCTTTCTACCAAGAAATATATGCTGGAACCACCTAAAAATCATACAATCAAGTATTGAATAAAAGAAGAAAAAAACCCTGCAAACTGTAAGGGCTGTGTTTTTTATTTATGCTAGTCATGAAGTCACACTGTTTTATACTTTGTAGCAAACTTATGAACTGCCAATGGCAAAATATTATCTAGTACTTGTTATTAATTATGACTGAGAAATATTAATAACTGTATTACTCACATTGTACATCCTTATTGGAGAACTGTTTTCCATTGTATTCTACATATAAGTAAACAATTATAAACCCATAAATTGCTTTTTTTTATCATAATTGATACTGAGCGAGAGGTTGTTTTTAATCCATTGAATGCCATATGCTATGACTCTCCCATTGTTAATAAAAACAATCTGGTGTTAGACAGAGTAAAATAAAAAAGTAGTGTGTAATACAACAAAACAGGTTATAATGATGTATGTGCACAATGCATATGATGAATAATCCACGCATACATGTGGGTCATATTCAAATACATTTTGCCAGTGTTTTAACCCTAGATTTAAAAAATGAGAACTATCTGTCCATTTGAGCTTTTATCTATCTAAAAATTAATTTGATTCTCTGTTTACATGCAAAGATATACTCATAATAAACATAATTTTAATTATACTCTTACCTTGCATTTGTTCTCCTTCATTATTACTAAAATCACTAAACTGGCCACATCCCGCCAAGAATTTCAAACGGGGAAAGACGTTTGATAAACGGGGAAAGACGTTTGATAATTCCAAATTCAATTTTCGTTCAATCATGTGATCAAATTGTTTCATCATTTTGGACACATGACTTCACGATTGACAGTGCTATTTATAATAATTATTCCCAGTCAACTTCGAAACAACTCAGTATATTACAAGATGGAGATCATATTTTCGCTAAAAGGGAGATCATATTATAAGATAGATACTAGATAGATTGTTCATTACGATTATGGAACTTTAAAATGAACATAAAACGAATATTTCATATATTCTGTTGCATTGACCTTCGTTTGGATGTTTGTGACCTTGTTTATGTTTGAATAACTTGACTGTTGAGTAACGAATTTCTGACGTTTAATTCAAAACTACGCACCTGATTGGATAATAAAATTAGAAACCCATGTACAAAAATAAATTGATAACAAAATCGTGAAGTCATGTGACCAAAATGATGAAACAATTTGATCACATGATTGAACGAAAATTGAATTTGGAATTATCAAACGTCTTTCCCTGTTTATCAAACGTCTTTCCCCGTTTGAAATTCTTAGCGGGATGTGGCCAGTTTAGTGATTTTAGTAATAGTCCGATCTTTCTCTGAAGTTGCAATCTCACATGCTTGTGCTAAAGTATAATATTAGGATTATAAGTTAAAATGCCATAATGTGAAAGTGTATTGAAAACAGTTTTTTAGAAAATGTGATTACCTTGTTGCAGGGGGAGGGGAGGGGATGGAATACAATATTACAATGATTTGTGATCACCTGAAGGTACATTATATGGTTTGGATTGGGTCACTTTAATTTTAATACTTAGCATACAATCTTATACATATCTTTTTCAGGAGCCACCTGATGATTCAGATTCATTGGGGTAGATATGTATTTATTTAGCAACTTTGAGGTAAGCAAATCTATAGTATTTTTCAGAATTCTAATTACCTGCTCTCTCTATTTTATTAATGCATGTGTCCGTGAATAAGCTTCTCTTTATTAGGAGACAACTTTTCATTGTATTGCACTGTTTAGATGGGGACCAGAATCTTTGATGAGATGTTTTACCTGAACAATATATAGTAAAGATAGAAAAATCTTGAGCTTAATTGTATAATGCCCTGTGAAGTGCCAGCTAGTGCTAAACATACAAATACAATCAAAGCTGAAAGCACCATACATAGACATATATATACATGTACATGTTCATGTTCATGGCCGGGGGGAGTCATATTCATATATTCCTGTTCTGCATTATTCACTTCTTTTGAAATCGATTGTTTTTAACTTTTTAGGTCTGTAAACATGAATATATGAATATGAGGCCCCACCCCCACAATTATCTATCTTCCTGTGGCCCTGATATATATATATAGGTGAACGTCTTCCTGATAAATTTATCATTTATTGGTGGGACGCCCTTTTCTTTCTGTATTTTTACCATTTTTACCATTCTTAGAGCAATTGCGTCTTCTTCATTTATCCCAAACATTGCTTTTTTTTGGGCTGAAGAAAAGTCTGAATCTATGAAATAATGATAGGTTTAACCCATTAAGCGCCAGCGCCCTCCCCTTGACGAGTAAAATCGTCTGGCGTTAGACAGAGTAAAATCGTCTGGCGTTAGACAGAGTAAAATCGTCTGGCGTTAGACAGAGTAAAATCGTCTGGCGTTAGACAGAGTAAAATACTAAAGTGGGGTGCATCAGGGTGCAATGCGACTCAATGGGTTAACTAGACGCATGGGCAGATAGGCCAGTTAACCCATTAAGCGCCAGCGCTCTCCCCTTGACGAGTAAAATCGTCTGGCGTTAGACAGAGTATAATACTCTGGCGTTAGACAGAGTAAAATACTAAAGTGGGGTGCATCAGGGTGCAATGCGACTCAATGGGTTAACTAGACACATGGGCAGATAGGCCAGTTAACCCATTAAGCGCCAGCGCTCTCCCCTTGACGAGTAAAATCGTCTGGCGTTAGACAGAGTAAAATCGTCTGGCGTTAGACAGAGTAAAATCGTCTGGCGTTAGACAGAGTAAAATCGTCTGGCGTTAGACAGAGTAAAATACATACTGTGGGTATGACTTGAATCACGACTGGAACATATTTAAAGAAAAACTCTCTCGCACTATTGATAACCACGTCCCGTTTGTAGAGAAGTCAATAAGAGGGCGAGTATGTCCATGGTTAACAAGAGAGCTTAAATCTATGATGATCTCACGTGATTACTATCTTAAACAAGCTAGACAAACCAATCAAGAACTCCATTGGTCGACTTATAGACGTTTGCGAAATTTAGTTACTTCTGCTATAAAGCATAACAAAGCAAACTTTTGTCGGAATCTCCTTTACAACAATGGTGAATCCCCTAAGACTTTTTGGAAGTTAATTAAAAAATTATATCCTGGGAATAACAAAACATCAAAATCATCTTTTTTTAAGGTGAATAATGAATTAGTATCTGATACCAGGAAAATAGCAAATGGGTTCTGTCGTTATTTTTCAACTATTGGCAGCCGCCTACAACAAAACGTTGTTACAATCACCAACAAAACTTGTAGCTCGCTTAGAAATGATGATAATTTAATGCATACGATAAATCCAACTGGCAAATTCTTCAAATTTTCTAAAGTCAATTGCTCAAAAGTTGCCAAAATACTACAATCTATGAGAATTTCCAAAGCCGCTGGCCCCGACAACTTACCAGCATCTCTCTTGAAGGATGCGTCTGAAGAACTAGCGCTGCCTCTTTGTATATTGGTCAACATGAGTTTTGAATATGGAACTTTCCCAAATGCAGAAAAATGCGGAAAAGTTATCCCGATCTATAAATCCGAAGATCGAGCATCTTTCGACAATTATCGACCTATATCGGTCCTAAATACGGTTTCAAAAGTCATCGAAAGGATTGCACATCAGCAAATCACAGACCATCTTGAAAGAAACCAATTACTCTGCCCTCAACAATTTGGTTTCAGACGTGGGAAATGTACCCAGCATGCTGTGACATATCTCAACGAACATATTCGTCAAAATATGGA